GCCTTTTCAAGGCTACTCTCAATGATGTTTTACTCACAAGACTTTCAGAAATAGCAAGTATCCGGAAAAAGCACAACAGTGTTTCATGTTAACACTCTCTATGGTTGTGGGCAGTCCCTGAGGGAAGACTTTAGTCCGATAAGAGACAACGACTTGGTAAATTTAAAACTTACATTACTTCAATCATTGTATATAGAATGACATTATGCTGGTATTTTCAGGGTGTAACTCTTTTTTTTTTTCTTGCAACTGGCATGTTGCCATAGATTAAAAGGCACCATTGCTACTAAATGGTTTCTCATGGACCCTTGACCCAGAGAAAAATGAATGTTCATGAGTCACCTAGTGCATCCTATGAAATGCAAATGGACAATTATATATCTTCCCCATGACACAGTAATAGGTAGTTTTTTTTCCTTGTTAGGACTTTTTATTTATCTATTTTTCTCTTTAGGCTCTCTGAAATGTCTACCCAATTTTTCCCACAGCAATCATAAAAATAGTTTTATCTCCTCTCCTTTCTCCCACATAACAATCTTTCAAAATTTTGAAGATTGCTATCATATTCAATTTATTCAATTCTTCCTAAACCAATCCCCTCAGGACATACTTTTCACACCCCTCACCATCCTGGTCATTCTCTAATTTTTGTAAATACCTCTCTCTTAAAACATGGTGCCTTCGGTGAGACAGGGAATGTGGTCTCATGGTGTAGATGCTGGTGAGAACACAGAATCTCCCTCAGGCAGATGACTGCACTTATATTAATGCAGCCTAACATGGCATGTGCTCTTTAATCTGCAGGGCATATTTTTGATGCATAATTAATTTTGTTGGTGACAACAAAAACTACTATTAACAGTCAAGGCGATACACATCTTAGATTTACACAACTGAATTATTTTCTTAACTTAAATGCAGGGATGCCTGTAAAAATTGCATCTTGTTGCTTTGGTCTCAAAAGACATCTCAAGTGAATGTGATGTTGTCACTTTAAATTCAAAGTCTAAAACTGGAAAATGTCAATGGACAAACCAGGTCTGTTTTTCCCATCTGCACTTTGGGTAATGCACCCATCATTCTGGTAATCCTCTGGTAGCCTGACTTTGAAATCAACTAGAACTTTCTCTCCAACTAAATTCAATAAGTCAACAAATTCTATCCTCAAAATTCCTTTAGATTCAACTTTTTTACCTATATCTCATTGCAATCACTCTAATTCTAGTGATAATTGTTGTCTAATCATAGCATTACATAGCTGAAGAATGCAAAGAATGAGATGTGCTATCATTTATATTCCCTTTATTCAGTCCTGTTAGATTATATATAAACAGCTGCCCAAATAATCAGCTGATGAGTAATTTCTTTACCCAATATTTCCTAAATGTTTTCTACCTCCTTGTAGCCTTTTCTACATCTTTGTATACTTGCCCTAAATAGTGGCTCTCTATCCCAACTCTTCCTAAATTTGATGTAATTTATTTGATTGCATTGACGCATTTATACCTCTAAGTTATAACCTATCTGTGCCCTGCCGTGAAATAGATATGTTTCCTCTTACATCTTGGATATGTGATAAGCATCTCAGTGTCTGTTGATGCCTTTGGATCATAAAATCTAGGTTTAATGAGTAGCAATCTTTGAATAGTAGAAGAGAAGAGGACAAAAAGTTTGAAAAGAAAGGTGATTGATTTACAAATGATAATATTAACACTTAAATAGTATTTAATATGTGCAAAGCCACCTTACACATTGCCTCATGTGCACCTCACAATATCCTTGATTTTACAGAAAAGGGATCTGAAGTCCAGGCTATAATCTATAATGAAATAACATGGCTTCACTCTATGTCCTCTATTCCTAACTTCTACACTCACTAGCTACAATAATTTGCTGCCTATAGAAAGGATTTTCTATTACTCAGAATGATCATATAGCCCTGGTAGTTGTGGCTGTTGGCTGGAGCATCCACTAATCCATTAAAAAATGGTGGGTTTGATCCCTGGTCAGAGAGCATGTGGAAGGTGACTGATCGATGTTTCTCTCTCACATTGATGCTTCTCTCTCTCTCTAATTAATAAAAAAAGAATGATCATATATAAGTGTATATACACATAATACATTCATATATACACATACAATAAAATTGTCTTGTATGCAATATATGGAATTCTCATTAAAAATTTTATTTTTAAAAATATGTTTTTAAAGCTGTGGTACCTATACACAATGGAATATTATGCAGCAGTAAGAAAGAAAGATCTCTTATTCTTTGAGACGACATGGAGGGACCTTGAGAGTATTATCCTAAGCAAAACAAGCCAAGAAGAGAAAGACAAATATTACATGATCTCACTTATTTGTGGAATATAATGAACAAAACAAACTGATGAACAAAATAGACCCAGAGACATAGAAGTAGGGTACAGACTAACAAACCTCAGAAGAGGAGGTGTGGTGGGTAGGGAAGAGATAAACCACAGAACTTACACGCATGTATGCATAACCAATGGACATAGACAACAAAGCTGGGGGTGGGGTGGGGGGATTGGAAGGAGAGTGTCAATGGGGGGAAAAGGAGAAACATCTGTAACAAAAATAAATTAATAAAAATAATTTAAAAAAATATGTTTTTATTGATTTCAGAGAGAAGAAAGGAGAGGGAGAGAGAGAGAGAGAGAAACATCATGACAGAGAAATATCAATTGGCTGCCTCCTGCGTGCCCCCTACTGGGGATTGAGCACACATCCCAGGCATGTGCCCTAACCTGGAAGTGAACATGGGACGATGCTCAAACAACTGAGCTGCACCAGTCAAGATGGAATTCTCATTTTAAATATAGTAGTTCTATTGGTTTGCACACTCATTAGTCAGAATTGTGCAGAAGGCAAAGCATAGGCTTTGGAGACCATCTGATACACAACTCACTCTAGTTCTCAAGTCTCCTTTTCTGTTTTTAAACTGAAGATAGTAGCATTTACTTCTCAGGGCTGTTTTAAAGATTAGAGACAAAATAATAAAGTGCCTGGCGAATAGTACATATTACAAAATGCTAACTAAAATCTTTTAGTCCCAGCAGAAGACCGTTTGATAAAATGAGATAAATGGTACTAGAGATCTGTAGGTTCTTCACACATATATGTTGACACTTCAACTTGGCTTTCAAATTTTAAACCTATTTGTTTTCTTATTGATTTTTACTCATTTTTTTTCAAAGATTTAAAAATTCACAGCCACTTTTGAAAGAGACTGATGAAATCTCAGAGGGAACAGTGGAGGGGGTCAGGAAAATATTAACCAAAGCATTTATATGCATATATGCATGGCCCATGGACACAGACAATAGGGCGGTGAAGGCCGATGGGGCAGGAACTGGGACAACGTGGACAAAGGGTGGGGGAACATCTGTAATACTCTCAACAATAAAGAAAAAAAGAAAAACAGGGAAAGGTTGGCCACAGAATAAAGACTTTATGTTAATTGGTTAATTTTGCTGGAAATTTTTGTTTGTTTCTACAGTGATAATGTGTTTTAGGATTTGTTTCCATTAAACTCTCACGATACCTTGATTTTCTAATTATTATAATAAATTTCTGTGTTTAACACAATGCCAAATGCTTCTGAATACAGCTGTCCTGAAGAATTTATTTAAATAATTTTGCTAAGTTCAAATGCTGCCCCTTGGCATGTTCCACATTCTTCATGAAGCTGTTACTGGAAAGTGGACCTGGCCCTTGATGGGTCTGCCTAGGGCTGGGCCGGTAGTTGGTGGGTTCTTGACTTCATGCAGGAAATTTTTCAAAAACATGAGTCCAGGTGAATTTTAGAGGAATTTATTAAAGCTGGGGACAGTGAAACAAGAAAGGGTTGGGGAAGTGAGCCTGGGCTGGTCTGCTTTGGCTCACTAAGAAGTCAGAGAAAGGGGGCCTTGGGGACAGTTTCAGGGGTTTTGCCTGGGATGAACTGCCATTACCCATTCATTGCTGCCCTGGTGTCAAGCCTCGTGGGGTTCCTTAGAGTCTAGAATATGCATGCCTGTGGAGGAAGGAAAAGGGGGGGGGGCATGGGCATGCTCCTGGGAAGGAGAGCATGTGCTGGGTCCTTTGTCTTGAAGCTTTTATTTCTTTCTTGCAGGTGGGAATCTTAGGGGAGGTCTCAGGGGAGGGTTTCAGCAGAATATTCATCAGTTTTCTAGGTGTGCTCCTTCAGGGTCATGGTCCTCACTGATTGTCAGTGTCAGGACAGGGGGTTGTTAGTCATTGCAGCTGATCCTGGTGTCACCCACCTGGTTTTGCTGCTTTTCTGGGTCTGGAGCTGAAATGCAACGGAGGCCTAGATGTTATTCCTAGGGAGGGGGCCTTCTGTATCGGCTGTAAATTGCTCTATTAGTTTGTTCAGCTGTTTGTCTCAGTTTCTCTATTCCACTTGTCCAGGCTGACTGGACTGTCTCAGTTTCTCATGTATTTTGTGATCACACAGGGCGATGTTTAAGTCCTCTGCCCACTTTGGTTGCATGCATGTAATAGGGAAGTCTTATTGGTCTTTATGAAATAGCTCATTTGAGAGTAGTATGACAGGAGGACCTCAGATCTTTGACTGTATTTCTGATTTCAGGAAATTAGCTCGTTTGCTGATTTTTTAATAGTTTTGAGTCTATGGGTCACAATGCTAGGATATTCTTGAGTTGCTCAAATAAGTTATACATGAATCATCGATTGTATTTTAAAATACTCTTGGGATGGTTTGTAATACAATTTTAATAAATGCTTTAAATGGAAATTAAATTGTGCTTTAATGAACATGAAGTGTTTGAAAATGAACTAAAATGACCTTTATTTATAAAGATCACTTTAGGTATATGTGAAATAATTGTTTATGATCACAATGAAGTGTTCTTAGATTACATGAGTCTCAGCAAAGGAGCTTAATTATTTCTTTTCTTTTTTCTCATTTGAAGGTAGTTAATGTATGAGTCCATTAAATCTCTATATGTTTGCAGTTGACAGTACTAAATCTGGGGAACAACCTTTTAGAAGAAGTTCCAAAAGAATTAAAATTCCTTACATCCCTGAAGAAAATGCATTTATTTGGAAATAGAATTCAGAGATTTGCATCTGGAGCATGTGGTAAGTTAGTCAAAGAAAAGCAGTGTTATGGCATCAAAATCAATGCCCTCATCATGTTTAATAATTTGGAACTAAATGAAAAAGGAATTTGCACATTTTGCTTTTTTGGGGGAGATATTTACAAACTACTCTTGAAGTTGAGAAATTTGGGGACTTTTTTTTTAGCTATTGTATTATATATTTCTTTAGACGTAGACCTAAGATGAGAAGTAAGCGTTGGTGTTTGTGAATTTTCCCTTTTTCAGAATCAGTATATGTTTAGGCTCTTGAATCTATGAGTCCTTTCTTTGTGCCAGAGTAAAAATTAGTTGAAAATCAAATCAAGGAAAGCTCCCCACAGCTCTCTTTTTTCTTTACATTTTTAATTTTTGTCTCAGATACTCAGTCACAATCTTTGATCAAGATGCTAAGTGTAGCCCAGGCCGCCCAGGCCGGTGTGGCTCCGTGGTTAGAGGGCTGGCCCTCGCATCGAAGGGTTGAGCATTCAATTCCTGGTCAAGGGCACATACCTGGGTTGCAGGTTCCATTCCCTGCTCCAGGGGTGCATATGGGAGGCAACTGATCAATGTGTCTCTCTCTCACATCGATGTCTCTCTCTCTCTCTTCCTCCCTCTCTTCCACTCTCTCTAAAAATCAATGGAAAAAATGTCCTTGGGTGGAGATTCGAAAAAAGATGCTAGGTTTAAATAAATTTGAGGAAAACTTTAAGGAGAAGATAGGGATCCAATAACTAGCATTTTTTTTGTGTGTACTTCCTTTAAACTTACAATTTTTTCTATTCAATATAAAAGTTGACCTACTTACTATAGGTAGAATGAGTTCAAGGACCGAATACATGACAAATAAATTCAGGTGATTTTTATAGCACTATTAACTCATGGAAAACACTTCCTCACTCTGTGTCTTTGTCCCCAGTAGTAAAACTAGAGATATAGAATTTACAACGTTCTGTGAACTTTTGAGATGTGGGTACGATATATAGTCACTGTTATCATCAAGCAGCCTTTATTAAAGTATTATTTCATAGGGCACTAAATTAGGGGTATATTTGGCAAATAGTACAAATAGACTCTGCTACTATCTCTTTAAAGTACTTTACATTCTTAGATCATGTATTTTGAAGAAATCCTTTTACTCGAAATAAAAACTGTGACAACCCTGGCCAGTGTGGCTCAGTTGGAGCATTGTCCCATGTTGAAGGGTTGCAGTTTGATTCCCCACTCAGGGCATATGCCGAGTTGTGGGCTCAATCCCCAGTAGAGTGCATGCAGGAGGCAGCCGATGGATGTTTCTCTCTCACATCGAGGTTTCCATCTCTCCCTTCCTATCTCTCTAAAAAATCAATAAAAACAGCCCTGGCCAGTTTGGATCAGCGGTTGGAGCATCGGCCTGTGGTCCAGAGAGACCCGGGTTTGGTTCCTGCTAAGGGCATGTACCTTAGTTGCAGTGTGTCCCCGGCCCTGGTTGGTCGTGCGGGTGGCAGCCACTCAATGTGTCCCTTTCATGTCGATGTTTCTCTCTCTCTCTCTCCCCCTCCGTTCTATCTGAACAAAAAATGAAAAAATGCCCTCGGGTGAGGATAAAAAAGAAATCAATAAAAACATATTAAAAAAGAAACCAATCAAGCCCTGGCAGGTTTGGCTCAGTAGTTAGAGCAAAGGCCCAAGGACCTAGAAGATGGCCAAGTATAACACCCAGTACAAAGAGTGGGGGAACAAGATCAAGTACAAAGCTCCCCAGTACATTGGCTTAGTCTTGAGTTCTGTGCAGAAACTGTGACCAGTGAGGAGATGTTCTCCACAAAATATAGCAACAAGTTCCCTGCTCCTTTGAGTCTCTGGTGAAGATCTGCAAGTGTTACTGGTGGGGAGAGGTTGTTAGCCCTACCTGTTGCTCATGGGAGTGGATTTATGTGATATCCCAAGAAAAAGAATTCTCTGAGACTCTCATGGGAGGATGAGACATCGTAGAAAGCTTTGTTTCTGTGGAATCAAACCCCTGGGTTTCCATTGTTCCATTTCTCTTCATCCAGTCATAGCAGAGGTGTAGCTGGGGCTTCAGCAGAGCTAAAATCAGAGCCAGTGTCCGAGTTTCCTTTCCAATTGGAGCTGAGTTCAGTGAAGCATCAGGCTAGTTTAGCTTGTGTTTCCTGCTGCAGCCCATTAGTCCATTTGTATGAGGTTTGCCTGGCTGCGGGCCATACAGGTGTATGCAAGAGAGCAAAGAGCCAAGAGCAACAAGAGAGAGAGCAAACTTCTTTGTTTAGAAGATTACATAGTCCAACATTTTGCCAGGTTTGCAGTGGCTGTGGCCATTCTGACCAATGATCTCTGTTTCCAGGTGTGACTGACAGGTACTTTCCCTAGTCACTCCAACTTTACTGTGCATGTGTCTATCTCCCCTTTGTTGGACCCTTTCCCTCAGGGTTTTTCAGGGAACGGGCCTGTAGTTCCCTGGGGAATGTGAAATTGCAGCTTCCCAGTGAAGCTGCCCAAACAACAGGCCTATAATATCTGGCTTCCCCCTTTGCTCCTTTCCTATTATTGATAACTAACTAATTATAACAGTATCACAAGTACATGTACCATGTCCCAGAGCAAATCTACTCATCCCTCTTCAAGGAGACTCTGGCTGTAGAGATGCACAGACACTTGAGCATACTCTGTATCTACTTTATCCTCATCACCAGGGAGTCCAACATGCTCAGCTCTCAAGAAACTGTCATCATGGATAATCTCACAGAGGTGCTGTGCAGTGGTGCACAGGATACAGAACTGTGGGCAGGAGAGGTGAGCCCCCAAACAGACAGGTGTGCACATGTGCAGAGGGATGGTGTTGTGTGTGCCAGTGTTGGTTGGCTTGGGTGTGCACTCATGCTGGGCCTGTCAGAGCTGAATGTGGGCTTCACAGATGCACATGGGCATGGGGCGTTTGACTGGTTCCCCATGGGTGTTTTTTTTTGTTGAGTGGATGAATGCCGCCAGTAAGAAAAACATTTGGACTTCATTCATTCTCTCAACAAATATGTATGGTACTACCATTCAGAGTTAAACAAACAAACAAACAAACAAACAAACAAACAAACACACACAACACACACCACATCTGTGTTCCAGTGCCTTTTACAGTCCTTTTGGTTTGACGTTATGGTAACTTGGCTGTGTTTTGTCCTCAGGCAACCTTTGTGATAAATACACCTTTTTTTGGTTTTGTTTAAGCTACTTTAAGAGATTATCTATTACCAGCAACCCAAAGAGCCTTGGACAAGACCAGAAATCAGAAGGAAAACAGTTACATAGAGAAGTGGCTAAAAATTATTTTCTAATGTATAGCTAAAGTGACTAAAATTATTTTCTAACAGATGGCTTGAAAAATTTGATCCTGCTTAATCTGAACAACAATCAGCTCACATGCATCCCTGAAGAAATCTGCAGGTAATTTTTTTTATAGTGATACTTAGTTAACCCCCCACCCCTAACCCTCCAGCCTGCCAGAGCCATCTCAAAATCTTATGCCAGCTTCAAGCCCTTGTGGGATCTGTACATAGCAAAGGGGGATCTGAAGGACTGATGCAAGCCTCTCATTCTAAGCAGATGATTCCTTAAGCACTGCAGAGAAACGAGAAACAGCATAGCTTGGTAGTTAAGTGTAAAAGTGGTGGTTTGAAACATAAAGTTCTAAAGTTGACCATGTTATTGATCTCCCAACTCTATAGTTCTTGAACATTGCTCCACTACACAGTTGGTGATAGTAAATTTTATTTCATATAAGTATTGTAACTCATTTTCAGCTTTATAGAAAAGGTATTATAAAAGCGAAGGATTTAAAATCAAGATATAATTTTCATTAAAAAACCCAACAACTCACATTTTATTATCATTCACAGCAGCAACAACAAAATGCTTTTTCTCCTTCCTGCACATCTGCACAGACAGGCTGCCAGTACAGTGCCTTTCTGCAGCCAGTTGAAGGCTTTATCCTTCTGCGCGCAAATCACTGTCTTGGGCTTTTCTTCTGACAGATGGAGAGAAATCTTACTCGGTTTACTTTGGAGACTATTGCCTGGTGAACAGAAACAGACATATCAAAGTGCTAAGAGCATCCAGATATTTAAAAGAGGACACAAAACTATGAAGAGTCCTCAACAAAGGATTTTCTGTAACATCTATTCTAATTCACTTGTTCATACCTTTAGCAAATGTATTATTTCCCAGATAGATTTTTTTTTGGTTAATCCTCACCTGAAGATATTTTTTCCACTGATTTTTTTTGTTTTTGTTTTTGTTTTAGAGAGGGTGGAAGGGACGAAGGGGGGAGGAGTAAAGGGAGTGAGAGAGGAAGAGAGAGAGAGAGAGAGAGAGAGAGAGAGAGAGAGAGAGAGAGAGAGAGAGACATCAATGTGAGAGACACACATCCATCGGTTGCCTCCTGCACATTCCCCAACTGGGGCTGGAGATCGAATCTGCAACCCAGGCACCATGTGACTGGGAATAAAACCTGTGACCTTTGGTGCACAGGCCGAGGCTCTAACCATTGAACCACACTGGCCAGGGCTCCCAGATAGAGTTTTACAGAGAAAGTAATGTTTTTTTTTTTATCCTCACCCGAGGACATTTTTCCATTTTTTGTACAGATAGAGTGGGAGGGAGAGAGAAGAAGAGAGAGAGAGAGAGAGAAACATCGATGCGAAAGGGACACATCGAGTGGCTGCCACCCGCACGACCAACCAGGGCCGGGGACAAACTGCAGCCGAAGTACATGCCCTTAGCGGGAACCGAACCCAGGTCTCTCTGGACCGCAGGCAGACGCTCTAACCGCTGAGCCAAACTGGCCAGGGCGAGAAAGTAATGTTTTAAGTCAGAGCAACCAGAAAAAATTTTGAAGCAACTTAACTTTTTAAGAAGAGGAGTATCTAAAGCAATGAAATTGCCAATAGTTTCTGCTTGTTTTTTCACTTATTCAATTGATTGATGTGGTGATATAATGAAAAAAGGACACCTTGGAAGATCTGGTGAACGAGGTTCATATATTTGTACAACCAGCCTTATGACCTGGAGCAAGTAATTTAATTGTCCTATATCTTAGCTTTCTCATCTCTAATGGGAGAATTTTGAGTAGGTGAACTTCAAAATCTCCGCTGCTGTAACATGTTATAATTTCACAATTTAGTAAGCTCTGTTTGGAGTACAAAATACAATATTAAAGGAACCATATAAATCTATGGTGCTATGTCAGAAAAGCGAATGAAAGTTTTCACTGGCAAAAATAGAATTAGAAAACGTATAGTTCTACACTGTTTTACAGGTAATTCTGGATTGTCTGTATTCTAGCTGTGATTTAGATGTAAGCTGAATGGTTACCTCTCCATGCATGATTCCATTTTCTGACCTTGGGAAACCTTCATCTGCAAAATGAGGACAATAATAGTACCTATTTCACAGGGTTGTTTTGATGAGCTTAATACACTAACCAATCTAAGACATTTGGGTTGAGCCTGCAACATAGTAAGTACTTAATGGATGTTAGCTTTTATTATTATTGGTTGTTATTTTTGTTCTTTCTGTCCCCCTCATTCATTTATTTTTTAGACACAAAAGATCGACTTAGTGGTAAATTTGGGAAAAGCATCAAGCATTTATGCTCAGCATCCTCCTTTTGCTCTGCCATTAATTGAACAGCTACTGAGCAGGAAAGGCTAGAACTGCATGGGTGTGTTTAATTCAGGGGAGAGCTGAGAGGGAGCCTGAGAAAGATCCTGTTAGTTCTATGCTTATGTCGGATTCTCTTCTTTCTGCAAACCATGTCTTATTTCTCAGTTTGTTCAGAACCTAGGAGGGAGAGAGAGGAGTTCTCTTTATTTGGCTTAATTAAAATTACAGAGTATTTGTTCAAGGACTTGGAGTTAAATCTGGGCAGACAAGAGTTTCGGCCCTAGGCAACTGTCATCAGCAGACATCTACACCCACAGGGAGAGACGGAGAACATGGGCATCCTGGAGACAGATCTCTCTGAAAGGAAGAAGGGGAGAGGAGCAGGGACGAAGTCAATGGCCTCAGTTCTTTCTCCAGAGTTGCCCATCAGTGGATTTCTTCTGTAACCCTCTGGTGAGGAAGAAAGGCAAGGAGAGCCGTAAGCGTACCTCCTATAGTTTTCTTTTGGAAGAATAGTTCTCCCTGCTCTGTGGAGGTGGAAACAACAGGAGAGTACTTGTTTCTTCCCTCTGCTCTTTTTTTACTCAACCAAGTGAATGACAGACACATTTACAATAGACTCTGAGTTTAGTTAGTGCCTTAAAATAACAAAAATAAAATAAAATAAAAAGCCAAATACCATAATAGTAATTCAGAGGAGAATCAATTAAAATAATGATTGCTACAATTATTAGTGAAGAAAATTCCCTATTCCTTTCTCCATGGGAATTCTATACATTTTTTTTTTCAACACTGGGTCATCCTTCTTTGACCCTGTATACTCTCTGCAAATAAATGACTTTGCTTCCTATTTTACTGAGAAATTTAGCCTCCCTTAATTACCTTCTTTTCAGCCATTTAATCTTATCTTAAGTAGACCTTAAGAAAAAGTCTACTTATTTTTGTTTGTTTTGTATTTTATTAAAACTTTTTAATGTTCACATGATTACAGGTGTTCCCACTTTTATACCTTTTTTCTTATCTCCACCCATCCTGCCTCACCGTCCCTAGGCCTCCACCACACGATTTTCTGTGCCCATTGAGTATGCTTATATGTTCTTTGCCTAATCTTTTCACCTTTTTTATCCAGTCACCCTCAACCCCCTCCCCTCAGCATCAGTCAGTTTGTTCCATGTATCCATGCTTCTGGTTTCATTTTGTTCATCCATTTATTTTGTTTATTAGATTTCACATATTAGTGAGATCCTACGGTATTTGTCTTTCTCAATCTGGCTTATTTCGCTTAACGTAATACTCTCCAGGTCCATCCATGCTGTCACAAAGGGTAAAAGTTCCTTTCTTTCTTTTTTAAGCTGCATAGTATTCTATTGTGTTTTATCCACTCATCTGGTGATGGGCACTTGGACTGTTTCCAGATCTTGGCTATTGTAAATAATACTGCTATAAGTATAGGGGTGCATATATTCTTTCTGATTGGTGTTTTGGTATTCTTTAGGATATATTCCCAGAAGTGGGATTGCTAGGTCAAAAGGCAGTTTCATTTTTAATTTCTTGAGGAAACCCCATGCTGTTTTTCACAGTGGTTGCGCCAGTCTGCATTCCCACCAGCAGTGCACTAGGGTTCCCTTTTCTCCACACTCCTGCAAGCACTTGTTGTTTGTTTATTTATTGATGGCAGCCATTCTGACAGGTGTGAGGTGATACCTCACTGTAGTTTTAATTTGCATCTCTCTGATGACTAGTGATGTTAAGCATATTTTCATATGTCTATTGGCCATCATCTGTATGTCCTCCTTGGAGAAGTGTCTATCCTGTTTTTTATATTTATTCATTTATTTTAAAATAGGTTTTTATTGATTTTTTAGAGAGAGAGGAAGGGAAAGAGATATAGAAACATTGATGTGAGAGAAACATTGATCTGCTGCCTCCTGTACACCCCCCACTGGTAATTGAGCCTGCAACCCCGGGCATGTGCCAGGAATTGAAGCGGGAGCCCTCAGTCCATGGGATGATGATCAATCCACTGAGCCACACCAGCTGGGCTCCTTTGCCCATTTTTGAATTGGATTGTTTGTCCTCCTCATGTTGAGTTATATGAGTCCTTTATATATTTTGTATCATTGGCAAATATATTCTCCCATACAATGGGTTCCCTTTTCATTTAGTTGATGCTTTCTTTTGCTGTGCAGAAGTTTTTTAGTTTGAGGTAGTCCCATTTATTTATCTTTTCCTGAGTTTCCCTTGCCCTTGGAGACATATTGGCAAAAATATTGCTTCAAGATATATCTGAGGTTTTACTGCCTATGTTTTATTCTAGGATTTTTATGGTTTGGGACTTAAATTTAAGTTTCTTGTTCATTTTGAGTTTGTCATTACATACGGTATAAGTTGGTGGTATAATTTCATTTTTTTGCATGTACCTGTCCAATTTCCCCAACACCATTTATTGAAGAAACTGTTTTTACTCCATTATATGCTCTTGGCTCCTTTGTCTAATATTAATTGATCATAAAGAGGTGGATTGATTTGAGGATTCTCTGTTTTGTTCCATTGGTCTATATGCCTATTCTTGTGCCAGTACCTGGCTACTTTGATTATAGTGGCTTTGTAGTATAGTTTGATATCCAGTATTGTGATTCCTCCAACTTTGTGTTTTTTTATCTCTCAATATTGCTGTGGCTATTCAGGGTTTTTTTTTGGTTCCATACTAATTTTTAGAATGTTTGTTCTTGATCTGTGAAATATGCCATTAGTTTAATGGTAATTTCATTGAATCTATAGAG